TTTTTTTTTTTTTTTGTTCTCTGCATATGAAATTGATGTGGGAAGTGAGTTATGGTTTATTAATATCTCCAGCTGCTGCCCAGTTTTAGAAGTCTCCCAGGATGCTCAGATAGCTGAACATATATATCTTTCTCCCATTACAGCACAAAATAAGTGGTACAATAATAAATATTAAATGTTGGTATGGTGTGTTCATCTTCCTTGTGTGAGGAGCTGCCTGCCCCGGCTGGCGGGTTGCCGCAGGGGCCTGCCTTTACGGAAGCACTCCGGTGGGAGCGAGGTACAGATGTTCACTCCACGGAGCTGCGAGACATGGGGTGAAGACTGCCCAAACCCAGCCGTACGTGTCCCAATTCGGTTCCCACCGGAGGCAGTGACAGGTGCAACGGACTGGGTGAGAGCAGCGATGGACAAAAGGAAAACACTTGCCTTTGAGAGCATCCCCGGGAGGGGGTTTGGTGCGCGCAAGCCGTGCTGCTCGCGCGGCACGTGTGCTGCGCCACTGATCCGAACATGGTCAGCAGACAAGGCTGAGGGAATGGTTTCCTGCAGCCTGGTCAAAAACCTTTCTTTTCATCTAGGAGGATGCTTCAGGTTGGGAGAAAGGACATTTTTGGGAAAGTGGGCACATACCATCATAGAATCATAGAATCTCAAGTTGGAAGGGACCTCAAGGATCATCTGGTCCAACCTTTCTTGGCAAAAGCACGGTCTAGACAAGATAGCCCAGCACCCTGGCCAGCTAAATCTTAAAAGTGTCCAATGGTGGGGAACCCACCACTCCCCTGGGGAGATCATTCCAAGGGCTGATTTTTCTCAGTGTGAAAAATTGTACTCTTGTGTCCAGTCGGAATCTCCCCTGGGGTAACTTGAACCCATTACTCCTCATCCTTCCCATGTCACTCCTTGCAAAAAGGGAATCTCCATCTTCTTTGTAGTCACCCTTGAAATATGGAAACATGGTGATAAGGTCTCCCCTGAGCCTTCTTTTCTCAAGGCTGAACAAACCCAGTTCTCTCAGCCTTTCCTCATACGGCAGGCTTCCCAGTCCTTGGATCATCTTAGTGGCCTTTCTCTGGACCATCTCCAGCCCGTCCACATCTCTCTTGTACAGCAGGGACCAAAACTGAACGCAGGATTCCAGGTGTGGCCTGACCAGCTCTGAGCAGAGTGGGGTAATGACTTCTTTGTCTCTGCTGGTGGTGCCCTTGTTGGTGCAGCCCAGCATCCTGTTGGCTTTCTTTGCCGCAGCAGCACACTGTTCACTCATATTGAGCTTGTTGTCCACCGGGACCCCCAGGTCCCTTTCCACAGAGCTGCTCCCCAGCCAGGTGGATCCCAGTCTGTGCTGCTCTCCTGGATGATATTTTCCCAGGTGCAAGACCTTACACTTGTCCTTGTTGAACTTCATGAGGTTCTCATTAGCCCACTCTTCCAGCCTCTCCAGGCCTTCCTGCAGGGTGGCTCCCTTCCCAAGTGTCCACTTCCCCACTCAGTTTGGTGTCATCAGCAAACTTCATCAGGGTACACTTGATCTCATCATCCTGATCACTTATGAAAATATTAAACAGCGTTGGGCCCAGTATTGATCCCCGGGGGACCCCACTTGTGACAGGTTTCCAGTTTGAAAAGGAGCTATTGACCACCACCCTCTGGGTGCGGCCTCTCAGCCAGTTCCCCACCCACTGCACAGACCACTGGTCTAGACCGTATCACATTGGTTTCTCTAGGAGGAGGCTGTGGGGAACTGTGTCAAAAGCCTTGAAGAAACCCAGGTAGACAATGTCCACCACTAGCCCCTCATCAACTGAGCAGGTTACTTTGTTGTAGAAGGCAATCAAGTTTGTCAAGCACGATTTTCCTTCAGTGACTCTGTGCTGCCTTTTCCCAATCACATGCTTCATCTGACTTGTGATAGCCCCCAAGAGGATTTGTTCCATAACTTTCCCAGGGACTGAAATAAGACTGATGGGCCTATAATTTCCTGGATCCTCCTTTCAGCCCTTCTTGTAGATGGGGATGATATTAGCCTTCTTCCAGACTTCTGGGATGTCCCCCAATCTCCATGACTTCTCAAAGATTAGGGACAGCCTCGCAACATAGTTGTCCCATCCCAGAAGCTGCTTTTGTACTTCCCCGTTACTGACCATATGCACGGCAAACTGCACAAGTGAGTACACCAGGGAAGTTCGTACACCAACATGTGTGCAAGAAGACGGCTGAGTCAAGGAACCGGCCGTGCTCATAGCTATTCTTGAAGCTATGCCA